TGGAGGTGCCCCAGCCCGAGCCTGCGCCAAGCTCGGCTCCTAATCCTGCCGGCGTACGCGAGAGCGCCCAGCGTCCCGGCCACCTCCCGGGCCTCTGGCTGGGGACTCATGGTCTCCTGGAGTCCCCGGAGCTTGCGGTCTCTAAGTCTCCAGTCACCACCCTGACCCAGACCATGCACAATCTCGCCGGGCTCGGCAGGTAGGAGGCCCTGAGAAAGCCGGGCGTGGAAATGAAGGAGGCCAGGACTAGGATCCTGGGACACTGGGCACGGGAGCCCAATCTAAAAGGTGGAGTGGGGAGGCTTCCCGACAGAGCAGAGGCACCCTTGCCCCTGCTTCAGGAGTCCAGGGCAAGGGCAGAGACTGTGGCTTACACCCTCCAGGTGACCTGATGTGGACCCTTTTCCCCCTCCCCCTCCCTCGTTTCGTCTCTACCACGCTGTCTCCCTAATCACTGCCCCAACAGCCACCATTTTGCCCCAGGCAGGGAATCTAATTCCGGGCCTAGAGGGGGAACCTGAGGGTGGCATAGCTGTGGTTCTCACCGGTTGGACCCTCTGTTCCCTGCACCACCCCATTCTGCCCCCAGGGTTAGTGATTAAAGAAGGATCCTGCTCCCTAAGACTGTGTAGGGAGGCAGGAGGGTGCTGGTTGGGATGCCGGCAGCAATAGAGACCTAGGTCTTGGCCCTCCTTCCTGGAAGGAGCATGAATGGATGTGGGTCTGAGAGCTGGGGAAGCTACTCTCCAGCTACTTTGCTGTCCCCCTCTCTGACCCCTCTGGGCCCCAAGCCCAGCCTTCTTGCTCTTGTCCCTGGATTGATTCATCTCTCCCTGCACCTTGGAGAATTTTTCCTAAAACAATCAATCCAGACAAGACAATTAATAGATTGAGCCTTGCTGATCTGAGAGGAGGGGTAGACCTGATGGGATCACCTCCCACAAGTTCTTCTCTCAGTGAAGGGGCTCCCTGGGACATTGTAGAGGCTGGATGGGCCCTTCAGAGGTGGTGGAATGCGGGAATAGGAGCCGACCAGCCCTTGAGTTCTACATATTTATCTTTCTCCTTTCCTGGGTCCCTTCTCCCTCCCCAGCGAGAACCCAAAGAGTCTGCCCTTTCGAAGCCGGCTGACACACCTATCCCTGTCAAGGCGGGGATCTGAATCATCCCTGTCATCAGAGTCCTCTGAATTTTCTGACGCAGGTGAGACCCAGGGTCCCTGGGGGAGGTCCCCAAGTGCCAGGAGAGTGGGGGAACTGCTTGGGCCTCTTGACTTCCCTGCCCTTCAGATTAACATCCTTCCTACAACCTGAAAGGCCTAGCAGCTTCCCCTAACCTGCCCACAAAGTTGGAAGACATACCTCTGATGAGGCTCACCACACCCAGTCCATTCTGTGGAGAGGGTAAGAGGGTGGGGCCCTCTGCGGAAGGTGAGATCTTAACCTATTTAAAACCAGGCGCCAAAGTCTCTAAACCGCAGCCCCACCTGGAAGGCGTTTACAGTTGAAAGTTGGTCTTTTAGAGCATTCTCTTATAGTCTGGAATGTTTTCCTAAAAAGCTGTTGTGTCTTCCAAAGTATTTTAAACCAATTTAAGAAAAATGCTTAGAAAAATATACGTAGAGGAGTTTCCATAGCGAACAGGGAGCCAAGCCCTGTGCCTTTTGATGGATAGTGTGTCACCCTCCGGAGCCATGGGTAGGTTTTTGTTTCATTGTTTAAAATAAAGTGTCCAGATTTAAAATAGAAACACGTTTATTTTTCTCTTCTTTGGATGCTGTGGGGAAAGTATATAAAAAATACTACTTTCAGATCAAGGTGTTCTGTCCCCTTAGGTCTCTGCATGGATTCCCCCAGCCCTATGGACCCCCAGATGACAGAACAGACGTGAGTAGAGAAGGGGGGTGGATCCCTACTACCAAGGACTCACCACTTACTTTTGGGAATCCTAGTTCTACTAAACTCAGTGGAGAGGCCAGGGAAAGTAGTCAGATCCCTCAACATTTGTCTGGGGCTAGTTGACCTTCCCAGACCTTGCTCCCTGTTTCAGGGAAGGGTCTGCTTTTATGGAAACCAGATGAGAGTGGGCTCAGGAATGGTAGGGAAAGCGTTCCCTGGGAGCAGAGGATGGCTCCCACTAGCCAAGTCTGTTTTTCAGTCCAAGCCCATATGTCCCCTTTGTTTGCCCATACATATTATGTGTGTGTGTTTGAGAAACACCAACCTAAAAGTATGGTCCCACTAATTCAAAACTTTAATTTGCTTTAGGCAAAGTTGCACACTGTTGGCTGCAGACTGATTTGGCCCTTGGCCCATTAGCAATCTCTAGTTTCATGACACACTTTACACTTTACTCTCTGGCCAAACCCTGGAAGTCAAGAGAGCTGGTGGTCTCTGCTCTGGACGAATACTTCTTCCTTTGTTAGGGGTTGTGAGTAGTGCCTTCCAGAGGACAGCTGTTCCCATCCAGCTGTTAAGGCCCAGGCAGGTGGAGCAGCTGCCAACCATTAGTAGGGGCAGCTGGGTATCCCCAGCCTGAGCCGGGGGACTGTGGCTTTGGGTTTAGGGCAGTGACTGTTTCCTCCCTTAGCTTTTGATCCGACTGGGCGGGGTACAGGGTTTGTTCACAAACAGGAAACAGAATTGAGTGGGGGTGGAGGGCAACACAGAGCTGCCCTTGCCTTACCCCTAAGGACTAGGTGCAAATTGGAAATGAAGCAGATTAATTGGTCATCCTGATGCCAAGTTGGCTGAGCACAGCCCTCTCTTGAGGGGACAGGGACACCCCTTGATACTTTGGCCCAGAGTCCCTCCCCCCCTGCACCTGCCTTGACAGTTAGTTTCTCAGAAAGAAGCTGGTGTGTGTGTTAGTGTGCATGCACAGATGCACAGAGTTCCCCATGGCAGGTGGTCTCCAGTAACATAGCTGGGGGGCGGGGCCTATATACAGAAGCTTATGCTTTAGCTTCAAAAGGAACATCTGTTGGAATTCCTTGCCTGCTGGCCTCTTCTAAGGCAGGAGGAGGGGGTGGAACAGAGGCTGGGTCCTGGAAAATTCCATAGGAGGGAGGAAAGGATGTGACCCTGTACATTTGTCACTAGGGGGTCTGCTGTGGCAGACTGGGGCTGGTCCAGGGGGCCATTAAAGCAGGCCCCTGTCCTGGAAGGAACCAGACCAGCTCCTCACTGGGGGAGGAGAGCCCAGCCTTGCTGGCATCCACCCCTGACTAAACTCACATTGCTAGATGCCCATGGCCGTCATCATGGGGTGGATGGATGCCTTCCCTGGCAGCCATATGGCCCCACTTAGGTGATTTGCATACAGGTGGAAGGCTTGTATGCAGGCTGGCGAGACTGTTGCCTTGGTGATATCTCAATGACCCTGTGACCTGCCCCAGCTGTCTCCTTCACTGCTTGTCTCTGGGCCCTCTTCCATTCAGGGAAGCCTTTAAAATTCCAGGCTGCCTCTCATCTCCCCTTCCTCAATACCTGGGCCCCACTGACAGTGGGCCTCTTCCTCCCCCTCCCTTTGCTCTGGCCTGAGCCCTGGTCCTTGGGCCTTATGGTTTGTGGCCTAGTGCTGGGTAATGGGATGTAGAGGAAGATGGGCCACATCTTCTGTCTTCTAGGTTTGAGCAGGCCATCCAAGCAGCCAGCCGGATTATTCGAAAGTAAGTGTCCCTCACCCTCTCTGCCCATGATAGGCTGGCCCCCAGGGATGTCAAGGGATCTAGGGGAGGGATATCTTCCCTGCCTTTAGTCCCTGTCCCCAGGGACTTTTAGCTCTGACCTTTCCTTGTTTCCTTCTGCAGTGAGCAGTTTTCTATCAGACGTTTCCAGTCCTTGCCCGTAAGTGTCCTCTGAGACCCAACAGAAAACATAGGGGTGCTGACTGGGTAGGGGCACAGGCATCCCAGGGCTACCTCCCAGTTGGTTGGGGAAGGGTTTCATATGTGGCTGAGCAGGCCAGGGGAGTTGGAGGAGGGGCAGAAGAGAATAGAGTCTAGGGTGGTGGCCAAGAAATGCAGCCTTCAGTATCTGCTGCCCTTCCTGGCTTCCTAGGCACGGCTGCTGGGCCACAGCCCTGTGTTACGGAACATCACCAACTCCCAAGCACTGGAAAGCTGGAGGAAGAGTGAGGCAGGTGACAGAGCTGCCGGCAGTCCTGGGGAAGACAAAGAAAATGTGAGCTACTTCTGGAAGGCCCAAGTGGGAAACCTCCAGGGAAAGAAGGGGGCATGCATGCCTGGTGGTTCTCTGGCATCCAGTGATGCCCCTCCTCTTGCATCTCGCCCACAGAATGGATTTGTCTTCAAGATGCCATGGAAGCCCATGCATCCCAGCCCTGCCCATACTCTGGCACAGTGGGCCAGCCGCAGAGAGGCCTTTACCCAGAGGCCAAGCTCAGCCCCTGATCTGATGGTACATAAGGAGAGCTGACCCTTTGGAGGGACCTTAGGATGTAGCTTGGGGGAAGGAAAGGGTAGCGTGGGACCCCCCTAGGCACTGAGAAGGAAGGGGTTGAGGACTGACTCTGGTCCTCCTCACCACTGAGTAGCCTGTGCGTGTTTGTCACTCTGGCAGTGTCTTACCTCTGAGCATAAGATGGAAGTAGAGGAGCCCAGCCCCTTGGCTCAGTCCTGCTCTCTGACCCCTGCTGAGGCAACTACTGAGGAAGATGATGGATTTGTGGACATTCTGGAGAGTGACTTAAAGGTAAACAGTCTTGGCCTGTCAGGTCCCTACCTCTCTCCCTGGGATGGCCCAAAAGAGAGGCTCTGAGCCCCACCAGCAAGACATGACCTCATTTCAATGTCAGAAGAAGTATTTGAGGTAACTGAGTAACAGTCTGATCTCTGGCCAATCAGAGAAGGGCAAGTGACTGGTGCCACAGTGGAGGGGAAGCTGGGCAGGGTGAAGGGACGTGCACAGCTCAGTACAAGCCCCAACAGCAAGTAGGTCCCTGCAGCTCTGGGGGTTTGGGGGGGGTGGGGGCACCCAGAGGTAGAGAAGCTTAGCAGGGTCTGGGAGGGTTGCTGGCCTGGTATTTGCTGAGGGGACAGAGAAAGTTGTGCTGGAGGATTCAGGCCTGAGGGGTTTGACTTGTGCCTGTGGTTGTGACCATGTTCTTGCTGATTTGACCTTAGGATGATGAAGTAGTTCCCCCAGGCATGGAGAGCCTCATTAGTGCCCCATTGGTCAAGACCTTGGATAAGGAAGAAGAACAGGTATGCCTCTGGGGTGGCCCCCTCTGGGTGGCCCTGCCCTCTGGGTAGAATTAGGGATTAGGGATTGAATGTCCCTGACCTGCCACCCTTGCCAGGACCTCATCATGTTCAGCAAGTGCCAGCGGCTCTTCCGCTCTCCATCCATGCCCTGCAGTGTGATCCGACCCATCCTTAAGAGGCTAGAGCGGCCCCAGGACAGGGACATGCCTGTCCAAAATAAGCGGAGGAGGAGTGTGAACCCCCTGGAGGAGGAGCAGCAGCCTGAGGAACCTGTGAGTGCCTTTCTCCTGGGACTGGGCTGTCACTATCACCTTGATGTTCCACTCACTTGGTCGTTCATGGCAGAGGGTAAGGTACAGCTGGTAATCTGGGCATGGTAGCACCGAGAGATCAGATAGCCTCACCCTTGACCCCTGCATCCTTCTGCCTTGCCTCTTAGAAAGCCCGTGTCCTCCGCTCAAAGTCCCTGTGCCATGATGAGATCGAAAACATCCTGGACAGTGACCATCGTGGGCTAATCGGAGATTACTCCAAGGTACCAGCACAGCATGGGACCCTCAGGAGGCTTATCCTATTACTAATTGGGGACCCCTGCCCCTGGAGCTACTTCTGTTCCTCCCCTCTCCCCAGGGACTCTTTTTTTTTTTTTTTTTTAAAGAGAGAGTGGGAGAGAGAAGGGGGGGAGAGAGAGAGAGAGAGAGAGAGTGTTTTAATATTTATTTTTTAGTTCTCGGCAGACACAACATCTTTGTATGTGGTGCTGAGGATCGAATCTGGGCCGCAGGCCTGCCAGGCAAGCGCGCTACCACTTGAGCCACATCCCTAGCCCCCTAGGGACTCTCTTTTCTTTGTCCTTTGTTATCTTTGCATCCTATGTTCCCATGCAGACTTCTCCCTCTGGCTCTTCTTGGTCTCCTGACTTTATCCAGATCTGTCTAGGCATCCATTGTACCTCAGTCTTGGAGAACATTTCCTACCTTATATCCATGTCGCCCCTCCTCCTGCCTCACTCCTGGACATGGTAGGCCTATGGGGCAGGAATCAGAAAGTTCATGTTTCCTATTCCCTTCTTCACTTTCCCTTGGAAGATTGTTCTCTGGTTATCAGCCCTAGGAGGTGCCTCTTGGTTGCTATGGGAACCAGAACTGAATTTGAAGGCCAAAGCAGGTGTGACCTCTGGACTTGGGAACAAAGCTCCCTTCCTTTTCAGGCTCCTGCTTTTACCAATTTTACTTTCTCGTTTCTTTTATCCCTTCCCTTCAGGCCTTCCTTCTACAGACTGTGGATGGCAAACACCAAGACCTCAAATATATCTCACCCGAAACGGTAAGCAGGGTTAAGTCATTTTCCAGGGGCCTTTTGGACTACTGTTGGCTGTGACCTCCTCTGGGGATGGGCTACATGTATGGACCAACAAAAGGGCGAGGCCAGTCCCTGGCTGCCAGCTGACCTTCTGATGGCGCCACCTGCAGATGGTAGCCCTGTTGACCGGAAAATTCAGCAACATTGTGGAGAAGTTTGTGATTGTGGACTGCAGATATCCCTATGAATATGAAGGAGGGCACATCAAGGTGAGGTGGGACACTGGGCAAAAGCCTGAGGACCCCACATGGCTCAGGCACCCTACTGCAAGGCTCAACCAGTAGAGGGCCCATGTGTGCCTTCTCATGGTAGGGAACTTGCCCAAGAAAGATGGGGTCACCTATCTGGGAACAGCAAGGGGGAGGGGTCTGCCTCCCAGGTGCAGGGCTGTGGCCTCACCCCTAGCATCTCTTGACAGACTGCTGTGAATTTGCCTCTGGAACGGGATGCTGAGACCTTTCTGCTGCAGCACCCCATCATGCCCTGTAACCTGGACAAGAGAATCATCCTCATTTTCCACTGTGAATTCTCATCTGAGCGTGGGCCCCGCATGTGAGTCCCAGCTTTGTCTGCCCAGCCTGCTAGTGCCTGCCCTTGGCCTTTCCTGCTCAGGCTTGTAGGTGCTGGAGCTGTTGGAATGGCCAGAGGGGTGAGCCAAGCCTTTCAGCCTGTGTCTCTGGTCCTTTGCTGGTCTGTTTCAGGAGCCCTGAATATATCTCTTGAATTGTGTCCACTCATCACCTCCCTGCTTCCTCTTTCCTGGGCTAGGCCACAGATTTCTCTACTGAATATTGTGCAACTGCTCTCTGGAAAGAGAGCTTACCACCTCCCTCCTGCCATCACCCCAGCCTCTTTGCCCAATAAAGACCAGCAGACTTATCCTCTACTGGCTGATATTCTTGTGCTCAAAAACTTGTATGTGGGCTGGGGCTGGGGCTTGAGCTCAGTGGCAGACCACTTGCCTAGCATGTGTGAGGCTCTGGGTTCAAGTCTTAGCACCACATAAAAATAAAATAAAGGTTACAAAAATTTAAAAAGAAAACCTTCTGTGGCTTTCCCAAGGCCTTCAAAGGAACAATTTTTTTTCTTGAATATTTCCAAACAAAGTGTAAAGATGAGGGAACAAGTCCTCTCATCTAGACCCCACCACATGGCCAGCTCTGATCCCCCCATCCCCCACTGTAATGTTCCAGGTGCCGATTTATCAGGGAACGAGACCGTGCAGCCAATGACTACCCCAGCCTATACTACCCGGAGATGTATATCCTCAAAGGCGGCTACAAGGAATTTTTCCCACAGCACCCGGTACATGAATGGGGGTGGCTACATCCTCTGGGTAACAGACTACAGGGAAAAGGCTTGGCCAAGTCATAGTCCTAAGAGAAGGAGAAGGAAGGGCTGGCTTCCCCTTTCCTCCAAATTGACAGACCACTTCCATCCTGCCCTAGAACTTCTGTGAACCCCAGAACTATCGGCCCATGAATCACGAGGCCTTCAAGGAGGAGCTGAGAACCTTCCGCCTGAAGACACGCAGCTGGGCTGGGGAGCGAAGCCGGAGGGAGCTCTGTAGTCGGCTGCAAGATCAGTGAGGAACTGGTGCCAGTCCTGCCACCATCCTGGCCCTGTGAGGCCCTGGTGCCTATTGTACCATGGGCCTTCTAGAGGCCTCAGGTGCTATCCAGGGGGAAGACAGCATGGGTGTCCTGTCTGCCCCTGTCCCTGATTTCCCTTGTCTCACTCCAGTCATTTTCCATACCCTGGTGATAACACCACCCCTGGAAGACCCCGGCCTGGTGGGTTAAAACCAGGTCAGAGGAAATATTTTGGGTTCAGCAGGAACCTTTTTGCTTTTCTTCCTTCCTGTTTGGGTCAACTCTTTTGTCTTCCTGGTCCAGAAAAGTCCCTTTATGTATGTGTCAGCTGAGGCTGTTGGGAGAGCCTTGCCCCTGAGGACAAGGATGGGCCAGGGCTGCCCCTGCCTCTGCAAGAATCATAGGTGTGTCTGCACGTTGCCCCTTTCTTTTTCCTGTCCCTCTGTCCAAGCACCTCCAGTGTAAACATAAGCTCTTACTCTTTCCTGTTGCAGTATTACCTGCGTGCTTGATTTGTTTGTCTAACTTTTACCTGTCCCAGGACACACTGGCTGTGTAGTCTCCCCCTGTCCAGTTGGGGTTAGAGATTCAACCAGCAGTTACCCCCTGGTCCTGGCTTTTGTTGCCCCAGAAAGGGATGTTATTATCTTTGGAAGTTCCTGAGGAAGGAGCTAAGGCCTGAATCGGGAACCTACTGGAGGCCCCAATGCTGTGAATCCTAAGGCCTGACTGGTCAGAACTTGCTGCTGTCCTGTCATGGATGGATGGATGGATGGATGGATGGATGGATGGACTGTGGGCGGGTGGATGGCCATGAATGCATGGTGCCTTGCACACACATGTGCATATAAATTGAGTGGAAGCATTTTGGTGAACATGCTAGCCTGTGGCAGGAATGTATATGTGAACAAAAAGTCTTTACAGTTCATTTGGAAATATTCAAGAAAAAAATTGTTCAAGAAAAAATGTGGAAGCAGCTAAACCAAGGACTGAGCAACCTCTGGATTCTGAATCTCAAAGTGGGGGAAGGGTTGTGCTTGAAGGCCCCATGAGACATCTGTTAAGGCCTTGGTTCAATAAAGCACTGAGCAAGTTAAGAAAGCAGCACTGTGATCTCTGGAGCCCTTGACAAAACCAAAGCTGACCACAGTGGTGGGACTGGGGCAGGGAGCAGGCCAGCAGAGGCTGGAAGGCTTTCTAGTAAGGTATCTCAAGTTCCCTTTCCGTCTTCTCTTGAAGTCTTCAATTTCTTGTATCAAAGACACTCCTGCCAGGACTTTCCCCTTTTCCCTCATCTGACTACCCAAGCATTTCTGAGCTTACCTTCCCTAAACCCTACACCCAATGGTAAGAGTGAGTGACCCCAGCATGCCTCAAGAACTGTCAGTGGGATGGGCTGGAGTTGTGGCTCAGTGGTAGAGCACTTGCCTAGCATGTGTGAGGTACTGGGTTCAATCCTCAGTGCCACATAAAAAAGTGGATGAAATAAAGGTATTGTGTCCATCTACAACTAAATAAAAATTAATGGGAGCCAGGTGCAATGGGGCATGCCTGTAATCCCATCGATTTAGAAGGGAGGATCATAAGTTCAAAGCCAGCCTCCGAAGTTTAGTGAGGTCCTAAGTAATTCAGTGAAATCCTGTCTAAAAATAAAAAAGGCTGGGATGTGGTTCAGTGGTTAAACACCCCTTGGTTCAATCCCTGGTATCAACAAAAAAATTGTCCATGGGGCTGGGTGTGGTGGTACACACCTGAAATCCTGGCTACGGCAGAGGCAGGAGGATCACATGTTTAAGAGCAGCTTCAGCAATTTAGTGAGGCCCTTTCTCAAAAAGGGCTGGGGATGTAGCTCTGGTAAAGCACCCCTAAGTTCAATTCCCAGTAAGGAGGAAATAAAAAGAAATCGTCAGCAAGACCAGGTACAGTGACATACCTGTAATCCCAGTGACTTCAGAGGTGGAGGTAGGATTGCCAAACTCGAGGCCAATCTGGGCAACTAAGTGAGACCCTGTCTCAAAATGAAAAGCTGAGAGCTCTGGGCATCGTCATACTGAGACTTGCTTGCTCCTCCCTACCCCCTGGTTTCATAGGAAGGCAGCTGGACGCAGGTCGCATAGCAGATAAGCAGAGCAGGCATTCCAGCTTGCCCAGGATTCTCACCCTTCACCTCTCACCTTGGTCCTAGCAGCCAATGGGGCTGGAGGGCTGACCTGACCTGTCACTTGTGAATGTCCTCTTCCTGCATTATCCAGATCGGGATACCTGAACAGGAAGGAGCATGGACCCAATATCTACAGCCCCCAGGCCTGTGCCAGGTGCTGATGTCTGTGGCCACTTCTGTCCCCCTGAGCCACCATCAGAGTCATAGCGGCAGTCATGAGACACTTAGTAATATGCAAACGCTTTGAGACTTATAGCCTCTTCAGCCTCCCTGGAGGACATTTAGCTCATTTTGCCAGAGAGGTGGGAGGTAGCCTCAGAGAGACACTTAGTCAAGTCAGGAGAAAAAGTCCCCCAAGAGAAGCCCAAAGTGGGTTCTGGCATCCTCCTTGAGGGAGGCAGGGACCTGGATCTGGGCAAAGGGCGCTGTGGGTTTGCCTCTTGGCTTTTGACTCAGGCCAGGACCTGCTTCCTATGGAAACTTCAGGACACCAGGAAGAGTGCCCCATCTCCCTTCCCCCATCAGGGAAGCTTTAACTTTCTTCCTGGATGCTCTTAAAGAGAAACAGATCAGGCAGGGAGGCTGTTTAAAATCCTGGGCTGCCAGCCAGTTTTGAAGATTGTTTTGCTGGGGCCAGGGCGGGGCAGGAATTCCAGCCTGCCAGGAGCCCAGGAGCAGCCACGTGCTGTGCATTCACATGGTTAAAGAGCTGTGTGGAGTTGGGCACTAGCACAGGGAGCTGGGCGGTGCTGGCCCAGACAAGGCAGCAGGCACCAGTCGGGTCTAGGGGGGGTGGGCATGGGGAAAAGAATTTCCATCTGATTCATGGTCTGAGCTGCACACTCAGTCACTTTTTTTTGCAATGACAATGTTTAAGGACACTTTTTTTTTTTTTAAAGGAAAAATATCCAGCATTTCCTCAAAATCACACATTATCAGCATAGACTCTGGACCTGAAGAACCAATCACCACGTGGGGTAAGGTTATTTCTAGCATTTTAGGAGGTCCCTCATGTTCTTCCCATGACTCCCACTCCATAGGTAATTCCTATTGTGACCTCTATCATGGTAGTTTGGTTTAATGAAATCATAGAGTTAGTACTCTTCTGATTTTTCATTTGGCCTAATGATTTTGATGTTCGTCATGTTCTCATTTAGTGAGAATTTGTTGCTGAGTAAGTAGTTCATGATATGGATATGTATCCTTTAATTGGATTAATTCATTCTACTCTTTTTTCTTTTGTATTTATTTATTTATGGGGCTGGGGATCCAACCCAGGGTCTCACACATGCTGGATAAAAGTGCTCTACCAACTGAACTATATCCCAAGACCTCTTCTGTTTTGAAATTTTTTTTTAAAAAAATTAAAGTATAGCTTGATGTAGTGGCATGTACCTGTAGTCCAAGCTACTCAGGAGGCTGAGGTGGAAGGATTTATTGAGCCCAGTGTTTCAAGGCTGGCCTGGGCAACATAGACATATCTCAAAGAAAAAAAGCAAATACAAAAAAAAAGGAGGAGGAGGAGGAGAAAGAGAATAGGGAGGAGAAGGAGGAGGAAACACACATACACACAAACACACACACACACACACACACACACACACACACTCCCTGTCTTTTGCCATGTGATGCCCAGCACTGCCTCCAGACTTTGCTAATAAGAAGACTACCACCAGATGTGGCCACTGACCTTGGACCAGAACCATGAACAAAATAAACAAACAAAAAAAAAGAAATAAAAAAAATTAGCTGGGCACAGTGGCACACTCCATAATCAGTAATCACAGTGATTTGGGAGGCTGAGGCAGGACAATGGGCAGTTTGAGGCTACCCTTGGCAACTTAGGGAGACTTTGTTACAAAATGAAAAATAAAAAGAGTTGAAATGTAGCTCAGAGGTAGAGAACATCTAGGTTCAATTCCCAGTACTGGGGAAAAAAAAGTGATTAATATGTAGTAAAATTCACCCTTTTGAGCATATAGTTCTGAGATTTGTTTTTGTGTTTTTTTTTTTTTTGTTTGGCAGTGGGGATTAAACCCAGAGGTGATTTACCACTGAGCTACATCTGCAGTCCTTTTTATTTGATTTTGAAACAAGATTTTGCTAAGTTGCTTAGAGCTTTTGCTAAATTGCTGAGGCTGGCCTCAAACTTGTGATCCTCTTGCCTCAGCCTCCTGAGTCACAGGGATTACAGGTGTGTGCCACTGTGCCCAGATAGTTCTGTAAGTTTTGACCAGTGCATACAGTTCTGTATTCACTACCACAATCAGGACATGCAGAACACAGTGGGGCACTCCTGTAATCCCAGCAATTTGGGTGGCTGAGGCAGAAGGATCCTTGGCAACTTAGTGAGGATCCTTGTCTCAAAACTAAAAGTAAAAAGGACTGCAGATGTAGCTCAGTGGTAAAGCACTGGTAGAATGCCCCAGTACTGGGGGGAGGAAAAAGAAAAGATATGGAACACATTCATCCTATTGGAAATTGAAAATAGTGCTGGGAGCATACCAAGAAGTACAAGCTGTTCAGTTCCACACAGTTCTCCAAGGTCCTTACACCAACTCACCTTCCCACTAACAATTTCTAAGAGTCTTGTTCCACATTCTTGTCAAAATTGGCAAATTGTAGCTGGGCACAGTGGTACATGCCTATAATCCCAGCGACCTGGGAGGCTGAGGTAGGATGATCACAAGTTCAAAGCCAGCCTCAGCAACTTAGTAAGGCTCTAAGCAACTTAGCAAGACCCTGTTTCAAAATAAAAAATTAAAATGGGCTGGGAATGTGGCTCAGTGGTTAAATGTTCCTGGTTTCAATCCCTGGTACCAAAATTTTTTAAAAACAAATTTTAAAAAGAACAAAAAAATTTTAAAAATTGGCAAATTATAATTTCTATCTCTTAACAGAGAATGTGAATTCTGTATATAGCAAAGAACTCTGGCAAATGTTGAGTGCTGAACCCATATACTATCATTTGGCCTCAGCAGGTGTTTGAGTGATGCAGATTCAGTCTTTTTCTGACTCCTATATTGAAAAATGAGACAATATTTGCCTTAGTCTTGATTTTTTTTTTTTTTAAGATACTGAGGATGGAATCCAAGGGTACTCTACTCTGAGTGACATTCCAAGCCCCCTTTTTATTTTTTTAAGACAGGGTCTCACTAAATTTCTGAAGTTAGCCACAAATTTGCAATCCTCCTGCCTCAGCCTCTCTAGTAACTGGGATTACAGGCCTATGCCACCATGACTTGCTTTGATTTTTTTCTGTCAATTCAGATTCTTTAAACATCAGTGATTTAAGCCGAACATGGTAGTACATGCCTGGAATCCCAGGTGCTCAGGAGGCTGAGGCAGGAGGATGGTGGGTTCAAAGCCAGCCTCAGCAAAAGTGAGGCACTAAGCAACTCCATGAGTCCCTGTCTCTAAATAAAATATAAAATAGGGCTGGGGATGTAGCTCAGGGGTTGAGTGCCCCTGAGCTCAATCTCTAGTACCAAAAAACAAAAGCAAAGACAGACAAACAAAAACACCCGAATCAGTGATTTAGCCAGGTGTGGTGGCACATGCCTATAATCCCAGCAACTTGGAAGGCTGAGAGGATCACAAGTTCAAAGCCAGCTTCATCCATTTAGCAAGGCCCTAAGCAATTTAGTGAGATCCTGTAGCTAAATAAAATTTTAAAAGGGCTGGGGATGTGGCTCAGTATGGTTTTTTTTTTTTTTTTCAAAAAAGTTTTTTTTCCAACAAAAAGGAGAAAAAAATCAGTGACTCTCTATACAGTTAATTAGCTCTGTGTTAACTGGCTTGAGTCCTCTGTTGACAACAGCCCATGACAATCTAGAAAGCATGATTTCTATAAGGTCTTCAACCCTGATCCCTGAAATTGAACAGAAGGACATCCTTCTTTCCACAGGCAATAAAGCTGTTGGTGTGGTGCAAAAAGAAGTTTAGATGGGAAGGTCCATAGACACGTAGAATCTGGAATTAATCAGGAAAAGACAATTGAGTAATGATGGAGAAGTGGCTGCTTTGCAGCTGTCAAAGTCATGCCTGGAGAGAATGTTGGATGATGTGAGAGTATTCACAATGTAGTGCTCAAAGAAGACAGTTGATTATGGGACAGAAGGTAAGAAGCATCCCCACCCTCCCCACACAGGAGTCTGTGTGGCTGCCAAGGAGTGTAGGGAGGGTGGCCCCAGCCCCACCCCACCCGCATTGGCATGTACCCCCCAAGGGGGGTGACCACAGCTGCCAGGCTCTGAGTCAGTGGGGCCTGGGGCAGCGGGGAGGGAAAGGGGCCTCACGTGGCTGGGCCCACACTGCCTCGTGGAGCCTCTGGCTTTCAGCCCTACAGGAAGCGTGGCTGTTTGAAAGGACGAATCACACATAGCCTAGTCCTCCTGGGGCCCAGCCAAGGCCACTTCCCTGAAAGGAGGGATGCATGGGGGAGGAGGGGTGTTCCTGTGTTGAAAATGGGAGTACCAGGAAAGAAGGCCATCCAATCCAATCCTGGAGTGGAAGGCAGCTCCCAGGGTTGAGTTGTAGAGAATTAGCTGAGTTGGGGTTGGGGAAGGGTTAATGACTTTACAGAGATCTGTGGGAAGAGGGACTGAGTCAGATCTTGTGGTATCCATGACCGGATATGGGAGAAGGAGACACACAGGGGAAGTGCAAGGGGCAGGCTGAAATCTATTGATATGTACACGTCCCACGATGCCACGTGCAATATCAGGAAAGTTACTTAATCTCACTGGGCCCCTACTTCCTCATCTGTAAAATGGGGATAATAAAGACTGTATTTCAAAGGGTTGCAAACTGGATCTAATTGTTTGGTGTAAGTAAAGCACTCAGAACAAGGCCTGCCACAGGAGAGTCTGCTACAGCTGTTACTACACACGAAGGGCCAGTGTAGAAAGTAAAAGGAGATCGGGATGGTTAAAAGGAACAGCCTAATTAATTTAATTAAAGGGGCTGTTGTGGAGGGTCCCTCCCCTTCCTGCACATGAACAGGTCCCTGGGTATGGGTTATAGGAGAAAGCCCACTACAGTGTGCAGCGGCAGGCAGCGTGGGCTCCAGTCTGGGTAGAAGCTATGGATGGATGTTTGGGGGAGACAGAGGATGGGAAAACTTGTGAGAGAACTGTAGGAGGCTCTTAGCACAGGGTGATGCCAACTCTGAGATGGCTCAGGGAGGTGGGGTAGAGGAAGGCACAAGTCTTGTCTGACTTTTGGGCAGCCAAAATCCACCCAATATTCAGCCTGTCTTGATTCTCAAAGAAGCACATCCCCTCCTCCTCTTAGTTTCTCATAGTTTCTGCCTTGCTCTTTGAGAAATGCTAGTCACCTTTAACATGGAGTCAGTCAAAAAGTCTACTGCCTGGCCAGCACGATAGCGCACTTGTAGTCCCAGTGGCTCAGAAGGCTGAGACGGAGGATGGCAAGTTCAAAGCCAGCTTCAGCAACAGCAAGGCACTAAGCAACTCAATGAAACCCTGTCTCTAAATAAAATAGAAAATAGGGCTGGGGATGTGGCTCAGTGGCCAAGTGCCAGGGTGCAACCCCTAGTACCAGAATACAAAAAAAAGAAAGAAAAAGAACTAACAGGGCTGCCAGGTGGGGGTGCACACCTGTAATTGCAGCAACTCAGGAAGCCAAGGCAGGAGGATCACAAGTTCAAAACTAGTCCCACCAACTTGGCAAAGCCCCTAGGCAACTTAGTAAGACCCTGTCTCAAGATAAAAAATAAAAAGGGCTAGGGATGTGGCTCAGTGATTAAGCACCCTTGGGTTCAATCCCCAGTACCAAAACAAACCAAAAAATCAAAATAAAAGATAAAAAAGGGTGGGAGATGTAACTCAGTGGTAAAAGTACCCTTGGGTTCAATTCTCAATACTAGGAAAAAAAAAGGAGGGACTAGAAATGAGCCAACTCGGGGCTGGGGATGTGGCTCAAGCGGTAGCATGCGTGCAGCCTGGGTTCGATCCTCAGCACCACATACAAACAAAGATGTTGTGTCCGCCAAAAACTAAAAAAAAAAAAAAAAAAGAATTAAAAAGTTCTCTCCCTCTCTCTCTCTTTAAAAAAAAAAAAAAAAAAAAAAAAAAAAAAAAAAAGAAAGAAAGAAATGAGCCTACTGGACCTGGAAGTTGGTTCTGATGTCTGGGAAAGGCAGCAGAGATTATCAAGCCTGACTGTCTATCAGCTAATCAGGACCCAGCTTGAGTAGATGAAGAGTAGAATTCATTTTCCCAATTGAGTCAATTCAGTCCCTGCATAGGTATCCTAGCAGCTCAGTATGATTCAAATAGGAAAGCCCCAGGCCACCTGCAGGTCTCACCCCTACGTGGGTGTAGGGCAGTGGAGTGTGGGAATAAAGGGGTTGGGGGGAAGGGCGGGGCTTGAGGCAATTCCCCAACTCAGAGAACCACTGAGAGAGTAGGGCTAGGTAAGGGGGCATCTAAGTTGTGAGTGCCTCTGCTCACTGTCAAGAGAGGGAAGGGCCCCAGACGGGTTGTTTCCTTCAAGCTCCTCTTGATTTTCAGCATGCTTTATTAAATTGTACTTTTGTTCCTTCTCACCTTCTCTGTCACATACGTACCTGATCCTGTATACTGGCTTTGCCTCAGATTCTAGGCTAACCACTCTAAAAGGAACCTATAGCCCACTGCTACAACCCTCAGTCTCCACTGTGTTGTCCTCAGGACGGGTCTTGTAACCCCAGGACTCCCAGCCTGTATCCTGCCCCTGTCCCCTGCTTCTGAGCTGCTACCAGACCCAGAAAAGCCCACCTGTCTTTCTAATGCTAATCAATGCCCTTATCTGCCTCTGGATTAAGGGTTGTCAACATGTACTGATCTATTGAGTACCCATTAAGACCAGTGGCTTCATTACATAAATATGTGTGCTCAGCAAGAAGACTGTGGCACCTCTGGGGCCCATGTTCCTTCCTGCCTTACTATCCTCAGCATAGTGGGTTTTTTATGTTATTTTATTTTTTATTACTGGTGATTGAACTTAGGGGCACTAGACCACTTAGACACATCTCTAGCCCTATTTGTGTATTTTATTTAGAGACAGGGACTCACTGAGTTGCTTAGTGCCTCACCATTGCTGAGGCTGGCTTTGAACTCACAATCCTCCTGTCTCAGCCTCCTAAACCACTGGGATTACAGGTGTGTGCCACCATGCCCTGCAGCACAGTGTTTTTGACTTCAGGGGCCACAAGTTGACTGTGTGCTACAAAAGGTCAAGGAATGGTATCATATGAACTGGGTGTGATAGGGCATGCATATAATTCCAGGTACTCAGGAAGCTGAGGCAGGAAGATAGAAAGTTCAAGGTCATCCTTATCAATTTAGCAAGATTCTGCAACTTATCAAGACCCTGTTTCCAAAAAATAATAAATTTAAATAAATAAAAATAAGGCTGAAGATGCAGTTCAGTGGTAGACAGTCCCTGGTTCAATGCCTCATACTACCATATAAAAAAACCCAAAACAAAACAAACAACCCACCCCACACAAAACTATATTCCTTCCTTATCTGGAAAATTCTGGGAGGCATTTCTGACTGACCTCTGGTTCACTTTGGGTTTGCTCTGACCTACTCCTCTTGTCCAAAATTCCCTTCCTGCCAGGTGCAGCTTCTGAACTCCTTCCTACCTCTTCAGAAAGCCCAGTTCAGATGTTACCTTTGAGTAATATTCCCAGACTGCTCCTCTAGGTTCTTCCCATTCTTGAGCCTCTTGGACCTCTCTGCCTCTGTTTTATCTGTTCCACCTGTCTGCCCAGAGCCTGCCCTGGAAACTCTTGAGTACCCAGATGATATACCTAGCAGAAAGAGCAAATGAGCACATGAATGAATAAAATGTATGTCTTCCTTTTATTTCAGACCATGACTATCTTTTGCAATCTTGGTCAAATTCTTCCTTGGTCTCTCTTCTGCAGGCTGGCTGCTGTGGGAAGCAGAATTCATGCCTTAAAATAAATGCTTTCCACTGGGCACTCTGCTGTGTGATGGGGGCCACATCAAGGAGCCATTTAATCATCTGCTAAATGAGAGGCTATACTTAAAAGTTTCTTTTCATTGTGCTGGAGATGCTCTTGCCCAGCATGCTCTATCCCCAGTACATGGAAAAAATAAATTCGTATTTTAAATCTCCACTATTCCTAACTCAAGCCTGCATTCTCCTGGTGCAGAGGAAGGATTCTATCAGACTTCAAAGAAGATATTTTAGTGAAATTGTCACCATCTATGAGTCATATAAAAATGAGGACTGTATCAGGGAAGTGGACCTGCATCCCTAAACTGGCTGAAATTTTCATTTTTACTGAAGTTTCTGTTGAATTAAATATATGGGAAAGTGTTCATATCTTAAGTGTCCAATTTGGTTAATATTTGCAAGGTGAATGTGCCAATATAATCATCACCCAGATTGAGGCACAGAATGTGACTGTCTCCCAAAGCTCCCTCACATCCCTCCAGTCATTATCTCTCAAGGATAACTGCCATTCTGACTCGTAACTGTGCAGAACAATTTGCTTAGATTTGTACACTTTTTTCCCTTTATCTTTTTTCTTTTGTGTGTGTTGCTGGTGATTAAACCCAAGGGCCTTCACCACTGAGTTACATCCCAGCCACCCACTTTTTTTTTTTTTTTTTTTTTGCTTTGAGACAGAGTCTTGCTAAGTTGCTGAGCCTCTATCTTGCCATCCTTCTGCCTCGGTCTCCCAAAGTGCTGGGATTAGGGTTGTATGCCACCATGCCTGGCCAATTTATACCCTTTCTGCTAAAGAAATCACATGGGGTCTACTTTTTTTTTTAATACCAGTAATTGATCCCAGGGCCCTTTACCACGGATGGAGTCATATCCTCAGTCCTTTTTATTTATTTATTTATTCATTTATTTATTTTGAGACAAGAGTCTTGTTAAGTTGCTAAGGGCCTTGCTAAATTGCTAAGGTTGGCCTCAAACTTGTGATCCTCCTGCGTTAGCCTTCCAAGCTGCTGGGATTATAGGCATGCAGCATGGCACCTGGCTTGTGTCTACATTTTTGTGACTAGTTTTTTTTCACTCAACATGTCTGTGAGGTTATCCATATGTATATCAGTAGTTTTATTTCATTGTCATATAGTATTCTACCAAACAAGAATACACATGTAATTTATTCATTTCATAACTGACAAGTATTTGGATAGTTTCCAGCTTGAAACAATTAAGAATAAAGCTACTGAGAACATTTCACATGTCTTTTGGTGACTAATGACTCCCAGTTCACCCAGGTATGTATCAAGAGTAGAACTGCTAGATCACAAAGCAGTGTAGTTGGCTGAGTAAGTATTGCTGGCTGGGTAGATATTTCCATGGTGCCCAAGTGTATCCTGAAGTGTGTCCTGGATATACAAGAGGCCAGCGGCCAAGAAGGGCTCTCCTATAAGCAGCCCTCAGCAAAACCATCAGGTGAGACTTCCCTCTCTGCTGCTTTCCACCCCCATGGCCACTCCCCAGCAGGCTGAGGAAACCCTCCATGATATCACTCCTCTGGGTTCTCCACAGTCCTTCAGAATAGTGGTTCAGGCCAGCCTGTCTCCTCCATGAACCCTATACAAGGTCAGTCCTGTAGTGATCTGCAACTTGGTGTAGACTCACTGCCTAAGGAGTAGACAAAAGTCAGAAACCTGTGTTCCAGATGTTAGGTGGGCCCCCAAATAAAGCCCTCTGCCAGTTCATTGCTGTAATCAGCTGGCAAACATGAGGCCTGACTGAGAGTGATAAGAACTGAGGACCAGGAACTCAGCCAACATCACTCCCCATCACTCACCACCTCAGTGGGCCTATCCCTCCACCTACAAATACATTTAAGTGTTATACCTGTGGTCAAAATGCTAACATACCTTAGCCTTAGGCAGCACCACTCCCCAGGGTCCTAGGCCAAAGGGCCCAGAGTGTACTTTCTTAGGGGATTCTGACTCCAGGACCCCTGCTTGGGCCACTCTTTTTTTTTTTTTTTTTTTTTTTTTTTTTTGGTACCAGGGATTGAACTTGGGGGCACTCAACCATTGAGCCACCTCCCCAGCCCTATTTTGTATTTTATTTAGAGACAGGGTCTCACTAAGTTGCTTAGCAAGCAGCAGTTTTGTTTTTTTTTTAATATTTATTTCTTAGTTTTCGGTGGACACAACATCTTTGTTTGTATTTGGTGCTGAGGATTGAACCCCGGCCGCACGCATGCCAGGCGAGCACGCTACCGCTTGAGCCACATCCCCAGCCCCGCACTCAGCAGTTTCTGAGGCTGGCTTTGAACTAGAGATCCTCCTGCCTCAGCCTCCAAAGCTGCTAGGATTATAGGGGTCTGCTACTGCACCTGGCCCTTCATTTCTTATCACAGGAAGGCTGTTCAGGTCCCTTCAGTCCTGCCTTGTGCCTTCTCCTGGAAAGTGAAGATGGAAGCCACAACCCAGGTATACCCCAAGGGAGCAGGTGTACACTACTGCTGCTGGGAGACCTTCATAATGGTTCAAGAGGCCAATGGGCAGTCTGAGAAGGAAGCTTTCCCCAAAGTTTGAGTCTGAGTATATTTGGAAGAGGGAGGGGAGGTGATTCCAGAGTAAGGGAATCTACAGCCAGTATAGAGGGGCTCTGCAGCATAGAACACTGGGACATACCTGGGGAGGCTCAAGCCGTTCACTTGCCAAGAAGTGAAGGAGTATACACCTTCAGTTGCGGGGAACAGTGCAGGGCAGACGATAAGGCCCAGGCAGACCCCAAATATTTCTGGGCCATGTCTCTAGGTTGAGGTCTTTACAAGGCTCTGGAGGCTGGCACCTGACAGTGCCCATTTCAAGTTTAATGTATAAATCTCTTCATGATGGCCTCCTTCCAAGGAGTCAAGCAGGGATCCTGCTGGAGGTGGGACATGAAAAGAAAAAAAAAAAAATGGTCAGCCCTACTAAGCGCTGGCCCCTGCTGTCATTATATTATGGGATTTCACTGGGGCTCAGCGGAAGTTGATCTGCCAGGAACACGCAGCTGTGACAGGACTGGGATCAAAGTTCAAATCTTTCTATGCCAAACTCAGCCCTAGTCTTAGCCAGCTGAGGGAACCCTATATATAGGCAAAATTGCCTATATAGACCTATTTCCCTGCAAATTCATAATTTTTCAGGGCCTTTGATCCTCACACAATGGTCAGTCTAGGAAGTAAACCAGCCACCTCGAGGCCCTGAGGCGTAGCCACGAGCCGCACTAGGTTGGCAGGCAGCCAGGAAGCCTGCACTCCGCGCTCGGGCTACTCTCCGCCTCCTGGGAAAGCACGCGCACTGGTGGCCGTCGGGGCGACGCGCCCCCTCGCGGCCGCCCGGGTCGGTGGCCAGGGGCGGGGCTAGGTCAGGGCTTCCAGCCTGGCAGCACATACCCGCACGGCTTCCACGAAGAACTCAGATCCCCGAGTGGAGAACAGTGAAGCCCGCTAGCGCCCCGGGCCTGAGTGTCGGAAAGTACCTGGAACCCAGAGCAACGCACGCTACGCAAGGGCCCCGCCTACTCCGACCGGCGGCGCTCTTGCGCGTGCCTGCCGCCGGCGTGCGCAGGCGCCCATGAATCGTGACGCCGCCATTGCTTGCCCACTGCCGTGTTGGGCTCCCATTTCGAAGTCCGCCGCCCGGAGGGAAGGCTGAATGCTACGCCTCGATAACAGCGTCCTAGTGCTGTAGGGGCAGCACGTTCAGAACTGAAAACCCTCTCAACGCCAGGCTGATCGGAATAGGAAACTACAATTCCCAAAGTGCATTGCACCGCAGGGTTGCGGGAAGTAGTGACGTAAGGCTCCTCGGCCGCTACCATTATTCTGGTGGGGGGCTGGGGGACGCGGGCTGATGACGCGCTCTGATTGCCTCTGGCGGGTCACCGGAGGTCAGCGCTAGGGAATAAGGGTTCGGGTCTCCAAGTGCCTTCGGGATATATACAATTCCAGCCCTCAAACTGACTTTCTATTTAGCCTTAAGGTTGGCTACCTGATGACTGTACCCGTTGCCTTTCAACCCTCAGGCCAGGCACTGAACTAAGGAGATATTATTATTATTATTACTTATTTTGAAATAATCAACTCCCGTATACTTTTGTTTGCTTTGGTACTGGGGATTTAACCCAGCGGCGCTCTACCACTGAGTTACAGCCCCAGCCCTTTTTATTTTTTATTTTGATAGGGTCCCCCTAAATTGCTGAGGTTGGCCTTGACTTTGTGATCCTCTTGTCTCAGCCTCCTGAGTTGCTGGGATTATAGGTGTGTGCCACCTCACACAGTTTCCAGTATATTCATTGATAAGACTAGCCAGTCTTCACATCTTTTATCCCCTTTATCATTTCTTCTTTTCTCCGTATACCTATTCTGCCACACACACCCCCCTCCCGATTTGATTTAGTTGCATTTGGTGCCTCTTTACCTCTGTACTTAAAGGTATGTCTCTATGTATTTTTTTTTTCCTGAAAACAGGGACATATTCCTACATTCAAAACCAGGTAACATTGACCAAGACCATCTTCTAACCTTAAATGTTTCCAGTTGTCCTAGTAATTCCCTATGTGGAAATTGTCTTTTTCCTGGCCTAGGATCCAGTTCAGGAGCCCATGTTGCATTTAGCTGTCAGGTTTCTTTAGTTTTCTTCAGTCTAGAGTGGCTCCTCAGGTTTTCCTGGACTCTTGAGACCTTGACTTTTTTGGAGATTCTTGGCCAGTTGTTTTGAAGAACTAGGTTTAGGGTGTCTGTGATTTCTTCACCACTAGATTCTCTAACTAGGCATCACAGAGGCTGGGGTGGGTGTTGGCTGGGTGAGGGGGGTTCAGTGTCCATCCACATTGGCCTCTGGACCTACCCCAGTTGCTGCTGGGCCACACCCACAGGTGCTTCCCAAGCTGGGGTTTCACTCTCACCCAGGTCTTTGGCTTTTCTGTAGCACCCACCATAGAGCCATGGTACACGCCTTCCTCATCCACACCTTGAGGGCCCCAAATGTGGAGGACACAGGCCTTTGTCGAGTGCTGTACTCCTGTGTCTTTGGTGCTGAGAAGTCAACTGATGATCCTCGACCACATGGTGCAGAGAGGGATAGGCTTCTCCGCAAGGAGCAGATTTTGGCGGTAGCCAGGTAACTACAGTCCAACTCCAGGTTTCATTGAGCACGCGGCTAATTGTGATAGGCGCTCTGGGGGCATGCAGCAACACAGGAGGACTAAGAAGCAGGGAGGATATCTTGGAGTAGTTTTTCCCAGAGTCTTCCACAGGTGTTAATAGTGTTAATATGAAAGAGGGTTGAAGAGGGCTGGGGATTGTAGCTCAGCCATAGAGCATTTGCCTGCCATGCTCAAAGCCCTGACTTCAAACCTCATCACTGCAAGAAAAGTTTAAGGAAATAATGTTAATGGTTTTGTAATCATTATTATAGTGAGCACTTATCGAGTCTGTATGTGCTAAGCATTCATGTTTTGAGCATTTCACATTTATTATTAATTCATTTAATTGTCATAATAGTTTTTTGAGGTAGCTACAGTTATCCCCACCTTACATACAATGTGAAATGAGGTGCACAGTGTTTAAGGAACTTAACCTGCCAGGATTATACAGCTAGAAAGTAACACAGCTGAGATTGGAGTGTAGGCAAGCAGACCACAGTGCAGATTCAACACACTTTGTAGTGCAAGACTTCTCAGGGCCTTTATTGTGCTGTAGGCTTTCTGAATCTCTAAGAAAGAAAGAATATGTATACCCCAGCCATCTTTATACTAAGGTCCTCCTGAATGTTTGGATTCAGACCACAATTTGGAAAACACTGTTCCAAAGAGGCTATCCTTGAACCTTCCCATCCCAGAGTTTTTCCCCTCTGCATTCTGGGTAGGAAATTGCTACTCTGGGCAACTTTTACTGATTCCTGCCCGCCTCTTGTTCTTGACTTCCCCTCCCTCCCTGTAGCATAGAAAACCAAACAGATATCTTCACTATTTTATTATTTTGATGCTAGGATTGAACCTAGGCCCTTGCACATGTTAAGCACATACTTTGCCACTTAGATATACCCCAGCCCCAACAAATGCTTTAAAACCAGGCTGTGCATGACTCAAATTAGAAGGCAATTTAGGAAGGATCACAGGGAGTTTTCAATGGAAAGATGGAAAACTTTATTTTTACTTGGAGAAGGTTGCAGGATGGGATGAAGGTAGAGAGGTTGGGTAGCCCAGGTTGGGCCATGGCATTTATTTTCCTTAGCAAGGCCTCTATGAAGCAGGTGGGACAGCCTCTTCTTCCCCTGGGGCCCTTTTTTAGCTGAAAAAGCTGTTTTTAGAACCTGCCTTCTCTTGGCCACATGTAGTAAAGTGATCTAGGGCCCAGAGGCCAGGCCTGGATTCCAAGATGAGGTCATACTTTCTTGCTCTGTGGCACTGGAGAGGTCACTTAGTCTCTCTGAACCTCAGTTTCCTCACTTGAGATATGGGGGTAATGGTAGCTCCCAGAGTAGTCATGAGGATGACAGAAGTTGGGCCTCACCAGACCTGTCACTTCTTCCCAGGCAAGTGGAGTCAATGTGCCAGCTGCAGCAGCAAGCATCTGGCCGACCCCCAACGGACCTGCAGTCTCCATCCTCAGACGAGCCTGTGCCCCTGCAGGAGGCTCCACGAGGTGCTTTCCGCCTGGCAGCAGGAGACCCTTTCCAGGAGCCAAGAACTGTGGTGTGGTTGGGAGCGCTCTCGTTGGGCTTTGCCCTGGTGCTGGATGCCCATGAGAACCTGCTGCTGGCTGAGAGTACCATCCGGCTTCTGGCCCGCCTCCTCCTGGACCACCTCCGCCTGTTGACCCCTGGCTCCAGCCTCCTGCTGCGAGCTGACCGCATTGAAGGCATCCTTACCCGCTTTCTGCCCCATGGTCAGCTGCTTTTCCTCAATGACCACTTTGTCCAGGGTATGGAGAAGGAATTCAATGCTGCCTGGCCCCGCTGACCCCTCACTGGAATGGGGCTCACTGAGGGGACAGGGAAGGAATATAGAGATTCCACACATAGCCAGGGGAAGCTTGGCATTTGCCTCCTGCCTGACCTGTTTCTTGCTCTGATGTGCTGCCATATCCAGGACACATGGATGGGACAAGCTGGCAGCAAGGGGACCAGTGTGAGGGTAGAAGTGGGACTGTGTCTATTCTCAGGTCACCAGAATCACAGAACATCCTGAACCTAGAACTGCCGTCGTGTGATTTACTCAGACCACTGCATTATGTATGTCCGACCTGACCTAGACTCTGCCTTCCTAAAGCCCCACTAGCCACTAGTGCTGGGGGATTAGGGGGCGCTGCCTAAAATAGCACACCTTCTCCTTCCAAAGCCTCAGTCATTGCAGACTCCCATCATGGTGGGGGTGGTTAGGCCCACAACCTGGCAGGCCCTGGCCCCTACCTTTGCAAATACTTAAGCAACGTCATTGGAGATTTTGTTAGCAAGGGCCTCCTCTCAGCTAGCTCCACCTCAGTTCAGAAACACTGTTCAGCAGGGCATCCTGTAGCTCTTTGTGTGCCAAGCCCTAGCCGATCAGGTAGGGTTAAGATGCAGCATTTGGGAAGTCTGCGCTGGTTGACCTTGTCTTTCTCATTTTGTATTAAAAGTGCTGGTTGTGTGACCTCGCCCTTTGTGAGTTTGATAGACACATTTTTCTACAAGTGAGTGTCTCTTCGGATGGTCTATGAGCTAGGTGTCTACTTCTTGCTCAAGGGTCTCCCGAGAGGTTTCTTGGGCGGCCTCTGTATCTTGCCCGCCTCCTTGACTGTAGCCTCCACTGGTGGCAGGTCAGTGTGGGCCTCTGGGAAGGAGAGCCTGAGACAAGTATGTGCAGGTGGCTTATGTGAGAGGTAATCCTAGGCAATAGGAAGGGGAGGCAGCCCATCAGATGTGATTTGATGAGTAGTTTCATGCTCAGTCTGGGGGCCAGTGTGTAAGTCACCTCTGAATTATCTCACCTGAGGGTTGGGGGCCATGGGTGTTTGCCCACATGCTTTAGTCTTTGCTTGTTGTCACAGGGTGTGTAAATTCCTTGGCTCTTTCTGCTCTCAGAGAGTGGAGCTGAGCCTGCCTGCCAAAAATATATGGATGGGCCACTAAACACCAGTTGTTAGGAGGTCTTTTATCAGCAGCTTCTGGTGTTGGCCTAAAATTATTCAGTTAAAAAAAGAAAAATCGTTATCATTTTCATGATCGGTCTGCTACTGTAAAGACAAGGCTTTCTTGGTGTGGGCAGAATGGCCTTCTGGGTGGTCAGGGTGCAGGTGGCATCCCCATCTCATGCTTCCCATGCATCAGTTGCCCTTGGTCACCCAGGATGAGTCCACCCACATGCATTTAGGAGGCAGCACCGTAATCAGCCCTTCTGTGTCTGCAGCCAAAGCCACCAGCCATACTGTAACCTTCTACTACCAGGGATAATCTTGGTGAAGTGGCTTTATTCTCACAAGAACAGGCCCTCTGGCCTCAGGGGAAGATCCTAAGCTTGCCTGATCTGAATTCTTTCTATTCAAACTGAACATGAAGGAGAGATTGGGACCCTTCTGTCCTGGAAGTTGGAATTGGGCATGTTCGGTGGCCTTGGTTCCCATCTCCTGGAGCAAACTGATACATGGAGAATGGAGGAGACGAAGGCCACACCCTGGGGCTGCTGAGCCCCTGGTTCTTGTTCTGGCTGCCCAGTTACTACCTGGGTTTCTGTCACCCCATGAGCTCACCCAGTGTCCTTTCTACATTTTTCCACTTTGTTTTTGGATTGAACCTAGGTGTACTTTATCACTGAGCTACATCCCCAGCCTTTTTTATTTTATTTATTATTATTATTATTTTTACTTTTTTCCCCAGTGAAAGAAAGTTTATTTTTCCCAACAACAACAATTATAAGTATAGATACTTGCCTAACTGTTCCAGACTGATACAAACACAGGTATTGGTCAAACAATAGCACATTCTGTTACAGGGATAATTAGTGCTATGGTCTGTGCCCACAGAGAAAATATCCCTAAATCATATGAATATATGGTAGGCATTATCAGGGAGCTTCTGTGAACAGCAAACTTTATGCCACAGACAAAAGCAAGGCTCTAGGTAGAAATCAAGAATCTTTTTGTGATTGTTAGCAAGAACCTCAATGCAAACTTGAAACCACTTTAGGAAGAATTACATGGAACACTTACAAGAGAAGGAGCACCAAGTTAAACTGATCTAGATATGAAGAAATCTCTAAATCTTGTGGGTTTTCATTAATTCTGGGTCAGGAGAAATTCATAATAAATATTAATTAATTTATAATTAGTGGAATTCATAATTAATGGGATAATAATTGATACTATATGAATTTAGAATTAAGTTTTAATAGTGTTTTTGAAATCTGTCTCTATATTTTATTTTTAAAATATTTTTTAGTTGTAGTTGGATCTTTTGTTTTATTTATTTTTATGTGGTGCTGAGGATCGAACCCAGACCGCACACATGCCAGGTGAGCGCCCTACCGTTTGAGGCATAAGGGATGCTTGGGATGGTCCTGGATCATCACATACAAATGAAGATGTGGTGTCTGCCGATAACTAAAAAATAAATATTAAAAAATTCTCTCTCTCTCTCTCTCTCTCTTTAAAAAAAATTAAGATTGCTGCATAAATTGGGCACAGTGGCTCATACCTATAATCCCAATGGCTTGGGAGGCTGAGACAGGAGGATCTCGAGTTCAAAGCCAGCCTCAACAATGATGAGGTACTTAGCAGCTCAGTGGTTAAGTGCCCCTGAGTTCAATCCCTGCCACCAAAAAAAAAAAAATTGCTAGAGAAGTAAACTTGCTTCACCTCCAAGCCTTCTCACTGTCTTCTTCCTGTCCTAGGAATCTGGGTCAAGCCACACACCCCTTGACCTCTTGAGAACTGGAGACATTTAGCAGCTGGTGTTGAAGCCAGGGCACAGAAAATGCTCTTGGGACAACAGGAAGATAGCAGGAAGGAAGTGGAGCCCTATATAGAGGAGGAAGTCACAGGTTTCAGGCCAGGCCACGGTGTTGCTAGGTGGTGTGGATCATTGGAGGCATAAGGGATGCTTGGGATGGTCCTGGATCATCACATCTCCTTCAGGACAGTGTTATTTTCCCTAGGCCTGTGACACAGCAGACTATTGTCCAGCAACCCCCAGGGCTCAGTCCTTTTCTTTAAACAATTATTCATATATTTTGTTGTAAACTCAAATACTATTTATCAGATGCAACACTCAATGACCCCTTAATCAAAGCCCTGCATATTTATGCCATTAAATTGACCAGTTGTTCAGTCTACATTGACCCATCAGCATCACCCAAAGTCCATAGATTCCCTTAGTATTCACTCTTGGTGTAGTGCTTTTTAAGAGTTTTGACATGTGTGTAGTGACATGTATCCATCATTGCAGTACACAGAGTAGTTTCATTGCCCCAAAACTCTCCTGTGTTTTGCCTATCTGTCATCCCTTCTCTTCCACTAACTCCTGGCAACTTCTAATCTTTTTGCCTTCTCTCTGGGCTTATCTTTTTCAAATGTCATGCAGTGGAACCGTACTAGCCTTACACAGTGGCTTCTTTCATGTAGTAATATGCATTAAATTTCTTTCATGTCTTCTCCAGGCTTGATTGCTCATTTTTTAATTGCTGACTAATATCCCATCCTATAGATCAACTAGAGTTTATCCATCCACCTACCAAAGTACTCATGGTTGCTTCCAAGTTTTGGCAATTACAAATAAAGGTGCTCTACACATTCATTTTTGTGGGGCTATACAATTTCAATTCATTTGAGTGAATACCAAAAACTGTACATTCAGTTTGTAAGAGATTGCCAAATTGTCTTCCAAAGTGGCAATGCCATTTTGCCAGTAACAGAGTTCCTGTTGTTCCACATCCTTACCAGCATTTGATATTGTCAGTATTTAGACTTTGTTCATTCTAATAAGGGGCAATGGTATCTCATTGTTTTAATTTGCAATTCTCTATTGACATAATGTTGAACATCTTTTATGTACTTAACTTACCATCTGTATACCTTCTTTTGTGAGGTGTCTGTTCATATATATATATATCTATATATATATAGATATATATATATATATTGTAGTTGTACACAATACCTTTATTTTTTTTATATGGTGCTGAGGATTGAACCCAGCACCTTGCACACTGAGCCACAACCCCAGCCCAGGTCCTTTATTTTTGTGTGTGGTGTTTATTTTTTTGTTTGTTTGTTTTGTTTTGTTTTTTTGTACCAGGGATTGAACTCAGGTCCACTTAACCACTTGAGCTACATCTGCAGTCCTTTTTATTTTGAGACAGGGTCTCATTAAGTTGTTGAGGCTGGCCTCAAACTTGCTATTCTCCTTCATCAGCCTCATGAGTAGCTGGGATTACAGGTGTGTGCTACAATGCCTCTCTCTTTTGCCTCATTTTTAATTGGGTTGTTTGTTTTATTACTGTTGATTTAGAGTTCTTTGTATATTGTAGGTAACAGTCACTTATCAAGTATCTCTTTTTCAAATATTTTCCCCAGTCTGGGGCTTGTCTTCTCATTTTTTCACATTGTCTTTCACAGAGCAGAACTTATATATATATATAGTATGTGTGTGTGTATTTAGTTGTCAATGGACCTTTATTTAATGAACTTATTTATTTATATGGAGCACTGAGAATCAAACTCAGTGCCTCATAAATGCTAGGAAAGTGCTCTACCACTGAGCTATGAACTCAGTGCCAAGCAGAACTTCGTGTGTGTGTGTGTGTGTGTGTGTGTGTGTGTGGTCCTGGGGATGAACCCAGGGCCTTGTGCATGCAAAGCAAGCACTATACCAACTGAGCTATAGCTGCAGCCCTGGAGCAGAACTTCTTCTTTTTTTTTTAAACATTTATTTTTTTTTTAGAAGTAGTTGAACACAATACCTTTATTTTGTTTTATTTTTATGTGGTGCTGAGGATAGAACCCAGGGCCTCATACATGCTAGATGAGCATTCTACCGCTGAGCCACAACCCCAGCTCCTGGAGCAGAACTTCTTAATGTCATTAAAGTTCTTTCTTCATGGACCATACCTTTGGTGTTTGGTATTTAAAAAATTATCTCTTGGGCTGGGATTGTGGCTCAGTGGTAGAGAACTCGTCTAGCACATGCAAGACCCCCTGGGTTCGATCCTCAGCATCACATAAAAATAAATAAATAAAGTAAAGGTATTGTGTCCAACTACTTCTAAAAAAAAAAAATCATCTCTAGGGCTGAGCATGTGATTCAGTGATGGAGGGCTTACTTTGCATGTGTGAGGCCCTGGTTCAATCCCCAGAAAACAAAACAAAAAAACCTTAAAATTCATCATTATATATTTTCTGTTATTAGTCCATTGTTTGTTACTATAATGAATGTCCTGAGATCAGATACCTTTTTTAAAAAAAGAGGTTTCTTGCCCCATGCAGTGGTGCATGCCTGTAATCCTGTGGCTCTGAAGGTTGAGGCAGGAGGATCACGAGTCCAAAGCCAGCCAGCCTCAGCAAAAGCAAGGTGCTAAGCAACTCAGTGAGACACTATCTCTAGATAAAATACAAAATAGGCCTGGGAATGTAGCTCAGTGATTGAGTACCCCTAAGTTTAAATCCCTGGTACCAAAAATATAAAAATAAAAAAAGAAGAAGAAGAAGAAAAAAGAGGTTTATTTATCTCATAGTTCTGAAGGGTTAGGGTATAATGCTCAGTGGTAGAATTAGATGAATCAGATCTGGACTGTCCCCCAAAGGCTCATGTGTTGAAAGCATGATCCCCAGTGCATCAAGGCTCAGAGGTGGGGTCTTTTAGGCAATGATCAAATCATGAAAGTTCGAACACATTCATCATTTGGTGGATTAATCCATTAATAGCTAGAAGAACTATTGGAAGGTGGATCTAGATGGGGAAATAAGTCACTGTGGATCTGCCCTGGAAGGGTTCTCTTTTCCCTCTCAGCTTCCTGGCTGCCATGAGTTGAGCAGCTTTACTCTTCTCTCTTTTCTTTCTTTTTTGGCAGTGCTGGGGATCAAACCCAGAGCTTGGTGCTTGCTAGGCAGGCACTCTGCCGCTGAGCTACATTTCCAGCCCTGTTATACCTTTCTACTATGTTTCTGTCTTTGAGCTGGTCAGTCATGAACTGAATCCTCTGAAACCATCATCCCAAATCTTTCCTCCTCCAAGTTGTTCTTGTTTTAGTCACAGTGATGAAAAGCTGGCCAACACAATCTCAGCTCTGATGAAGGCGTCATATGGATGGCACCACAATTGTGGGAGAGATCTTATCTCCAGAAAGGTAACCAAAGAGCTGGGAGGGGCCAGTATTGGCCTCCCAGTAGGTCTCACCTTTTAAAGATCCATCACCTCCCAGTATCATTACAGGCAAACTCATGGGAAGCAGTTCAAACATATTCAGACCATGAGACCCTTGAGTCTCTTGACCATCCCCTTAAGAGAGTTTTCTCTCTTCTGGTCCTCATCTGAGAGCCAGGTTATGTGTTAATCAGCTTTTTGTTGAATGCAGCTAAAATCTCCAACATCTTTAAAGGAAATACCTGATAATTTTTTAAAAAAATTTTTAAGTTATGCATGGATTCAATGTTTTTATTTTGTTTATTTATTTTTATGTGGTGCTGAGGATTGAACCCAGTGCCTCATACATTCGAGGCAAGCACTCTGCCACTGAGCCCCAGCTCTAGCCCCTGACAATTTTTTTATATTAATTTTTAGTTGTAGTTGGACACAATATCTTTATTTTATTTTATTTTTATGTGGTGCTGAGGATCGAACCCAGGGCTTCACACATGCTAATGAGTGCTCTACCACTGAGCCACAACCCCAGCCCCATACCTGACAGTTTTTAAAGTAAAGATATATTTGGCCCAAGGTTTCAGAGCTTTCAGTTCATGGTTGTCTGGCTCTATTGGTTTGGGTCTGAGGCGAGGCAGAACGTCATGGCAGAAATGTGTGGCAGAAGAAAGCTGTCTAGCCCTTGGCAGCCTGGAAGTGGGGAGGGGGAGAGAGAGGGGCCAGGGACAGGAAGTAGTTCCTAAGTGCAAGCCCAACCATGCCCTACCAGCCTACAGTTTTTACTATCTCCCTATAGTCCGTTCAGTTATCCACTGATGATGTCAGAGCCCTCATAATTCAGTTACTCCCCAAAACCCATACCCCTGAATATTGCTGCACTGGGGACCAAGCCTTCAATACATTAGTGTTTGGGAGACACTTTATATCCAAATCATAAAAGGTTATAATGTTATGGGCCAGGCTATATGGGTAATGACCAAACAGACTCCATCTTACCCTGAAACTCCACGTCATGTAAAAACTGCTTCTCTCATGGGAAAGCCCCACCTCTGTACCCATCAATTGTTGCTTAGCATAGCATATTTGGCAACACAAAATGGCAATTATTTTTCAAATTTCTTATTAATTAATTAATTTATTTTTAATTTTAATTAGGTATATATGACAGCAGAATGCATTTTGATTCATTGTACACAATTGCAGCACAGCTTTTCATTTCTCTGGTTGTACACGATGTAGCAATGTAGAGTTGCACCATGTGCACAGTCCTA